TTCTGGTGACATGATCTCTGTTTCCTCCATAAACACATGCCATTTCCGAGCTTCAAAGTTTTTCGCAGTCATAAAGTCACTTTTTCCATATTCATGAGGAAAACGTGTAAAATTATTCTGAACATCTTAGTTTTGGTCCAAATATAACTGTAATTGGAATTGATTCCAATATCTTGGCAGTTTAGTAAGTGTTAGGTCGTTGATGAATAAATTAAATTAAATACTGGACATTAAACATCCTTGTTTTAAACCGCAAATGCAGCGAAGAAATTTGTATTCACACTGTTGATGCGTACACAGCAATAGACATTTTGGAACAATGACGTAATAGCTGCAAGCATACGATTGCCAATACCTAGATCATGTAGCTTTTGAACAGCAGCGACCAATCAACAGAGTCAAAAGCTTTACGGATCTCGATAAAGGCTGTTAACGTAGATTTTCTTTGAGCTTTACGGGTATCTATAATGGACGTTAATGTAGATAAATGGTCAATAGTACTTCAGCCTTTACGGAAACCGTTTTGCTCTCACAAATTATGGCGTTAACGTTTTCCCAAATGGTTAGGGGCTGATTTAGAACACTGCAATGCAGCTTGTAGATAGCGGAGGTCCGGGTTATTCCGCGATATCCAGATGGGTCTCGTGGGTCGGTTGTTGAGGACTTCGGTATCGGATTTATAATTCCCCGTTTCCACAGACAAGGAATAATACCAGATTCAAAACACTCATTAAATATGACATGAAGACTGTCCAAACAGCTGAACTGTTACGAAGTGCTTCCATTGGAATTGCATCTTTCACGACAGACTTTTTACATTTTGCTAGTAGTAAACCTTTTTCTATTTCGGTCTTGGAAATTGTGTTTTGTAGACAGTCCTGAAGCAATGTATCCTTAACTTCGCCGGCGAAAGGAATATCTGTATTTTCCGAGATTGAAAACTTGTTTTCCATGAATGTAAAACGTCGTCTATATTTGAACCTACAGATCCATGTTCTTTCACAACCTCCATAGGAATTGATTTTTGCCTTTCACTGCCTACACCTATTTTACCTATTAGTAGAAGCTTGGTTCAAACTTATTGGGGTGATTTTTCCAGTGTTTGGTTAACCTGGTCTTAAAAGAAAACAGGGATGGGGCATTTACTACTTGATCGGAGAGACCATTCCAGTTATTTCCAATTCTTAATTTGAACGAGTGGCCACGCAGATTACTTCTACACCTTAGTTTTTCTAGTTTCTGGTTGTGACCTCTGGTTGTTCTTGTTAAACTGAATTTTAGAAAGTCATCTTTGATGTTATCTATCCTATTTATTAACTTAAAAGCTTGCACCATGTCTGACCTAAGTCTCCTGTACTCTATTGTGGGTAGCCCAAGAGCCTTAAGTCTTTCAGGACAGGATAGGTCTTTGATACCAGGGACCAGTTTAGTGGCTCTTCTTTGGACATTTTCAATAGATATTTTATCCTTTACAAGCATGGGTGCCCAGACTACAATAGAGGTCTCTAGATACAGCCTTACAAGAGACTTATATAGGGTTATGAACATTGCCTTATTTACACAGCTAACGGTCCTAAAAATCATTCCTACATTTCTGTTTGCTTTGGCTACTGACAGGTTTACATGATCACTAAGTTTCAGATTAGTGTCTATAGTCACACCTAGATCCCTTTCACTATTAACAGATTGTAGTTTGTGTACTACCCCCTGATTGATGATGCTGAATGAAGTATCACATTTTACAGCTCCTTGATGTAATTTTAGGTGCTTACACTTATCGGAGTTTAGCTCCATCATCCATGTTCTCGTCCAGTTGTTTAAACGGTGTAAATCTTCTTGAAGATGTTGCCCCTGTTCTCCTGGATCCATTGCACGATATATCTTTGTATCATCTGCAAAAATTTTGGTCAGGCTGTGAATGACCTCAGGTAGGTCGTTTACGTAGATGAGGAATAAGACACGCTCCAGCACACTACCCTGTGGGACTCCACTTGTGACTTGACATGTGCTTGATTCACAACCGTTGATAACAACTTTTTGTTCCATATCATTCAAGAAGTCAGTAATCCACCCCAGTATGTCCCCGTTGATGCCATATCCCTTGACTTTGTGTAGTAGTCTCCTGTGGGGCACTTTGTCAAAAAATATTTTTAGTCCAAATAAATGCCACCCACTTGCTTGTTTTGGTCAATAGCTTCTGTTCAGTCGTCAATAAATTCTAATAGTTGTGTGGTGCAAGACTTGCCACTTCTGAAACCGTGCTGCTCCATGGAGAAAAGGTTGTTGTTGTTGTCCATGTGTTCCACTATTTCGTCTTTAATAATTCGCTGGAATAGTTTACCCACAATTGATGTTATGCTTGTGGCAGGGTTCAATTGTACATAGGATTAAGGTCGCCTTCTAGCTTCGAGCTATAGGTAATTTCCCTTAAGCTCAGTGGTAGAGCGTCCGACTAGTAACCTTGAGATCGAGGGTTCGATCCCCAGTGGAAGCACACTAATCTCTTTCCTGTTACATGCTTATGGGCCTATATAGTTCCCTGCATCTTTCTTGTTCCCCTTTTTTAAAATTGGTGTGACATTAGCTTGTTTCCAGGATTTCAAAAGACAATTTTCTGCCATTGATTTTTCAAAAATGTATTTTAGAGGGCCTTTGATTTGGTCTGCAATCTCCTTTAGGAATTTGGGATGTATGTTGTCAGGACCAGCAGCTTCAATCTGCCAATAGCGTTGTCTATTTTTCCTCCGATATCGCAATCCTACTTATTTTCCTATTTGGGGAGTGATCTTAGAATTGTAGAAGTGGTTCTTGCCCTTCATCTACGAAAACACTAGCGAAGTGGTTATTGAGAACCTCAGCCTTTTCCTGGTCATTTTTAGTGAGTTCTCCGTTGTTCTTTTAGTGAGTTATCCGTTCCCTTTTGTGCTTTACATCCAAAACGAACTAATTTTTCATTTTCTATTCTAAAGCAATAATAACCTTTCTTGAATCCTTCCTCTTGTACCAAGATATAAAACAATTAATATCAGGTTAAAAATGAGTAACTATTTTATAGAAATATATCATACTATGTGCGACAATCTTGAATAAACCCAGCCAACTTGTCTAATTTTTGTGTGATATTTTTAAGGCGTTTGATCGAGTGTGGCATAGGGGACTGGAAATGAAACTAGCTAGCTATTGAATATCGGGAAAGTTATTGGACTGGTCAATTGATTATGTTACTAATATATCTCAACAAGTTTTTATTGGAAATAGTAGATCTTCTGTTAAGAGAACAAATGCAGGAGCACCTCAGGGTTCGGTTCTTGGCCCATTGCTGTTTATAATATATATTAATGACATAAAAGATACTATATAAAGTCTATCAAAACTTTTTGCTGATGACACCTCTCTTTTGAATTCGGATAAATCACCACAAGTAATTGAACAAAAAATTAATAATGATCTTGTAAATATACAATTGTGGGCAGATAAGTGGCTTGTTAAATTCAATCCAGCAAAAACAGAGGCTTTACTTATTTCTAGTATTGATCTTGATCACCTCATTGAAATTAACTTTAATAATGTAAGTATTGAATTTGTTGAAAACCATAAGCATCTGGGAGTATTCATCAATGCTAACTGTAAATGGACCTATCACATTGATAATATATGTAAAAAGTAGTTAAACAATTAAGTGTCCCCCGTAAATTGAAATATACCCTGAACCGACGTACACTGAATAAAATAAATAGAACATTTATACTTCCTATTCTAGAATATTGTTGTGAACTTTGGGATGGTTGTTCTATTACTGATTCAGACAAATTAGAAAAATTACAACTTGAAGCTGGACGTATTGTCACTGGTTTACCGTCGTTTACTAGTAGACAATCTATATACAATGAAACTGGATGGGATTCTCTAGCCCATCGGAGATCCCGTCGAAAACTTCAATTATTTTTTTAAATCCACAATAATATAGCNGAAACGTTGAAAACTACAACCTACCTAGCAACAGACTTCAATTATCTAACGTATTCTTTTTTCCTTCTACTGTTAGACTGTGGAACTAGTTACCTACTAGTATACGACGTAGTGCCACGTTCTCATCATTTAGAAACGCCATTCAAGACGTAAACTTGCCGCTTGTACCAAATCCCTTTTTTATGGTGATAGGAAAAATAATATTTTGCATACAAAATTAAGAAACTGTTCTAGTACTTTGAAAAGTGACCTGTTTCGTGTTAACCTTATTGATTACTAATGTTGTATATGTGGCTTCCCTATTGAAGACACACACCATTTCTTTTTGATAAATATAACGAACAAAGAATTAAGCTTTATCTTGAACTGAATGAATACATGCCTCTTAATTTAAATCTACTTTTATTTGGAGATACATCTCTTTCGGAACAGGAAAACATAACGATATTCATGCATGCTCAGCAATACATTCGTGACTCTAACAGACTCTAGTATCCCCCCTCCCCCCGTCCTCTCTCTCTCTCCATCTCTGCCCATTGAACCATAATATCCACTCTCTCTCTGAGGCAGATACTATATGTCATACATTAATAATGATGAGGATGTATGTATTATTATAATTACAGACTATTATCCCCCTCTCCCTCCACCCTCTACCCCCCCCCCCCCCCCCCTCCCCCCCCCCCCCCCGTTTCTCTCTCTGTCTCTCTCTCTTATAATATCAATTTATAAATTAAAGCATTAGAAAACGAAATAGTGTATATACATGTATGTATATTAATTCTGCCATCTTTTTGCACTATTGTAAATATATGCTTGTAATTTGCTGGGAAAGGGCTTAATATAAGTTTGATAACTTGTTCCCAATCCATTTGCTTGGCAATAAAATATGTTTAAACTAAAGTAACTATTTTAGACCTGTTCATGTTACTTGCGGTGATCTTCGTATCGTTTAAGATCAATATTCACATCTTTAGTACGTCCCTGTCAAAAACTTTTTACTTCCGGCTATATGTCTCTTTCCATCCAATCAAAAACTGTCTCTCGTATGCGCTAGGCCATTGAACTGAATATTTACCTGCTAGTGAAAGTAAAAATACGTGGCACAACGAGGTTTTAGTACGTTTTAAAATTGATTTTATATTATATTTACATCTTTTCGAAGAACCCTGGTATGTGACTGTATTGAACACGCCCTAATTGGAAAATTAAGAGGTAGGTATAATAATTTTCGGCCCCTCGTCCGATGTCAACTTCAACTTCAAAACGTTAAATATTACTGAACATTATTTAGAGGCGTCAGAGAGATCGGTTGAAAACAAGTATTATTTTTTTTAGAACTATACTCTATTTAGAGGCGTCAGAGAGATCGGTTAAAAACAAGTTTATTTTTATTTTTAGAACTATATGATAAAAACAACATGTACGCTTAGAATTTGTGAGAGAGGAGATTTGCCTTCAGTGTTGAGAGGTGTGCACTGTCGGCGATGAAGTTCCAAGTACGAATTGCTCTAGGAAAGGATGAATTTGCATGATAATTTGTGGAGCTGTGTACATGTGGAATCTGGAATTTGTGTTGTCGGGTTCGCTGGAGAATTTGGATCTTGCCATCATATGCAACAAGGCCGTTTATGATTTTATATAGTAATATACAGATTGGGCACAACGGTGCATATGGGTAATAGTAATAGTCCTGCATTCAGGTAACAGTTACCCATTTCAGTAATAATTTTATTACTGAAATGGGTAATAAAGTGAAATGAAAATACACAAAGTTCTTTTACACATTATGAACAAAAAAGGGTGTCATTCTTCAAACATAATCACATAAAAAATACAATGAGATACATTTGTGTACAAAACATATGTAAATTAAGTTGTCTAATTCTTTGTGAAAATGACATTGTATCACCTCCATTGCTTATAGTGTGCTGTTGAGTAGCTATAAATAGCACACATAAAAAAGCATGCTAACTGTCACATTTGCACTGGATAGTCCCATTGACTACACACTGAAGTCAATGGAGAACAAAGTCAGTGATATGGTTTGTCATTTTCTCAAAAAGTTAGATAGTAGAATTGATAAGTTTTTGTGCACAAATGTACTTCATTGTGTTATTTATTTGATTTAGTTGACAGAATGATGCCCTTTTTTGCTCCAAGTGTTTAAAAGAACTTTGTGTGTTTTTATTTCACTTTATTCCCCATTTCAGTAAAACAATTGTTACTCAAATGGGTAACTGTTACCAACTGCAGGAATATTACCCATATGTGCCGTTGTGCCCAACCTGATATATGGTGGAGGTCATTTTACGGCGTTGTTCAAGGGATTGCCAGTTCAGGGTTTGGAGCTTTTCTGTAACACTACTGGTGTAGTTATACCACCCAAGGGTGTACCTATATATAGCTAGCGGCTCTTCTCTGCACCATTTCAACTACTTTTTGGGTAAAGTTTGCCTGCCATGGATCCCAGATGGGGCTACAGTATTCGATGTGTGGGCGGACATCAGTTTTATAAGCTAACTTTTTTTTTTACATTGGTGGTTTTAATATTTCTCCGAATGAATTTTAGGGATGAATTTGCCTTGTTGGTAATGTTATTGATGTGGGTGTTCCATGAAAAGTTTTTAGTGATGGTTAAGACCAGGTATTTAGCCGAATCTGCTTGCTTTAGAATTTGTCCATGGAGAATATATATAGTTAAATTTGTGTGTCAGTCTTTTCTTTGAGATGTGTAGAATTTCACATTTATCAGGGTTGAATGACATTAACCAATCAACCAGTCTATGCTATATTGCTTTCTTATTCCAAAAGGCACAGCCCCAGTTCACTAGCATCCTCAATATCCAGGGGTTATGCTCACTTTCGCTCTCTACAACCCTGGAATATGTCATAGCAAAAATAAAGGCACATGGCTAGCTATTTGATTGGTGTCAGGTAAAACAAACCTGACCAATCACTAGTCTGATACTTGTCCTTTGAAGATTACAAAGGGACAACGCCCGACTTCAAAGCCTGTTATATTTTTACCGTTACGCGACTGCAAGATTCTTTTGATGTACATAAAAGGACCAAACTAGTCTTCTCGTCTCATCCACAAGGTTATGGCATATTCCAGGGGTGTAGAGAACGAAAGTGAGCGTAACCCCTGGATATCGAGGATGGTTCAAAAGGGGTCCTTCTATCATCCCCGTCTGATTTCGACAGCAGGATTTGTATGTGTTTATGCTTTTTACCATGATAATGTAACTGAATTAATTATGTTTTCTATGCTCTATTATTGATATAGCATATATAGTTCATGATGTCAAGCAATCAATTGGTGCAATATTTTCTTTCTAGGGCATTTAATGATGGAAGTCAGGTTGAGATGTATAAAGCGTAAAGGACAACATTGGACCGTCAAGACTTTTGTATTTGCGCTTTTTTGTGTCGGTTTGAATATCAAGTTAGCAGTCTCACTGGACACAGGGGGTGTGGCTGCTAACAGTCTAGGGAAGCAGGACATTGAGCAGTCTGACAGTGACCAAAGGGCAACCAATATTAACCAACAACAACCTCCAGCTGGCACAAAGCCCCCAACCCATGGAAAGGGTCAGGACTCTCCACATCAGGGACAAGGTAATCAGAACAGTGAGCAATTAGAACAGGTTAAACCTAGTACACAACCAGAACCAGAAAACCATGATGAACCTCAAACTCCACTGAATAAAATCCAACCCCAGGGTCATGTTAACCAACAGGCAACACCATCTCAAAAAAATAAAAACACATCTCCAGTTCCACCAGTACAAGTTAACCAAAACACACCTCTGACACAAGTTAATCAGAATACCCCACCAGTACAAGTTAACCAAAACACCCCACCGGTACAAGCTAACCAAAATACCCCACCAGTGCAAGCTAACCAAAATACCCCACCGGTACAAGTTAACCAAAACACACATCCGGCACAAGTTAATCAGAATACCCCACCAGTACAAGTTAACCAAAACACCCCACCGGTACAAGCTAACCAAAATACCCCACCAGTACAAGTTAACCAAAATACCCCACCGGTACAAGTTAACCAAAACACACCTCCATTACAAGTTAATCAGAATACCCCACCAGTACAACTTAACCAAAACACACATCCGGCACAAGTTAATCAGAATACCCCACCAGTACAAGTTAACCAAAACACCCCACCGGTACAAGCTAACCAAAATACCCCACCAGTACAAGTTAACCAAAACACACCTCCGGTACAAGTTAACCAAAACACACCACCAGTACAAGTTAACCAAAACATCCCACCAGTAGAAGTTAACCAAAACATCCCACCAGTAGAAGTTAAAGATATACCACAATTACAGGTTAAGCAAAACGCTCATCCAAGTTCGGAAACCCAGAACAAAAAACCTTCACCAGGTCCAATTAAAACAGAGCAGGTTAGGGAAAACTTGCAACCAGAACAGGTTCAGAAGGGAAAACATCCTGAACAAGTTTATAAAAACAGTGACACAATTATATCAAAACCTGAACAGCATATTCCTCATCTGGTTCCCAATCAAGAGCTAGAAGAAATTGATAGTGGATCTTTAAATCAAGGACATCAGAAAAATGATAAAGAAAACAAAGATAGTCTGGTGTTAGATGAGTCCAAAGATACAGCTGAAGATGGTAGTAGAACAAAAAAAGGGGAAAGACCACGCCCGGTAGACACCCCACAGCCACCGAACCCCTCCTCTCCCTCGCCCAGCATCAGTAACCAGCAGGAAAATACTATGTCAGGTAATGATCATCATAGCAATACAAACAAAGTTTAACATTACCTTGCTATATCTGTAGTAGGAAAACTTACCCACTAATATAAACCACTAACATACCATGTATGGTGAAGGGGATCACATGTTTTCTGCTACTTCATGTAACACTAGTATAATCAGTTGTACAGAACTGGGTTAGGGGTATACTGTTTGCCTCTTATATCAACACTACTTACTAATACGCATTCCTGTGGATCCAGTGTTGGTAGATGCAGCTGATCTTTATCTTCACAAAATTGTGCTTAAACTGTGATAAAAGTGTCTGTGTAACTCTTGTAGAGCTGGTCATTGCTGAACTGTAAAAGAACTATTGTGGTACATAAATGTGTTGGCTACGCAATGCTTTTAGAAAAGAAAAAAATATATTTAAAGGGGATGAAAGTAACAGGTGGAGCATATTCTAAACACTGTATATATGACACTTGACTAAACATCTGTCTCTGTGATACTTGTGTCTTAACATTAATATTATCTTTATATTGCCGCCTGATTCAATTGTTGATGAAAAAAAAATTGGGTGGATGGAGGGGGGGAAGGGGTGATACAATGTATGCATGACATACATACAGGAATAAATTGTAACTTAATCAAGGTGAAATCAACAGGATTTAATAATGTTGAAATATTTGTTTTCTCCAGGAAATACTATTGTCAAGCTAATATTGCAATATACCAATATAATTGCAATACTGCCCAACTCCACACATCACCAACCCTTATTCCACCCAGGCACAGTATATATATATATACATGTACGTCGCTGCTCCACCTGATGTTACCAAGGTACAGCAAGTAGTACAAGGACCTTACAAAACACATACAGTAACTTGCAAGGAATATAAAGTGCATCCATGTACTTCTAATCCTTTTGAGTTTTCTAAAATAAGTTATATATGCAAAAAATATTGTGTTGTAATGACAACTGGCCTGACTTGTGTCCTGCCTTGCATCGCATACCACTGTATTGTACATTTATGGAAAGAAAACACAGGTAAGTATTTGTTTCAAGTTGAGGATGCTCAATATCAGTTAGTTTCTATCTTACTGTATAGAGATAATGATTAATATAAATTGTTTTTGTTGACTTCCTGAAAACATAATGATTGTTTTCAAATGTTGTGCATACAGTGAAGGAAATTATATACCTGAATAACAGGAATAATTGGATATGAAATGCTATGTGTATGTCGCTTACACTAAAAGTTTATCTGGACAACAGGTAAAGACCAATCTTTGTGTCATGTGAAGTACACACTTACGACATACTAGCATGTTATGTAATGGAAGTTGTGTGGTTATCCTGGGCTGTTTCCTAAGATCCTCATTTTATAAATTACAGGCAGTAACTATAATGTCCACTTCAGCAGCATGACTGCAAGTTCATTTAATGTTTAATTTCATCTTGGAGTTTTCTGTAAAAGTTAAAGATAATATTCGCTGGCTGTGCAAAATGGATTGTTGAGTGTGTTTCTTCTACAGATTACATCTCTTACACAATGTTCGCTGTATTATTTTTCATAAGTTCCAGTCGTACAGATTGTGAACATATATGTGTATTTCTCTAAAATCTGTTTTAAACTTGTTGTTTTAAGCGCTTTGTTTCTGATAGCTTGACAAACATTATTATACATACAGATCCAGAGATACTTACAGTTGAGGTAAACCCTAAAACTGAGGATGCAGATGGGCAAGATACTATGACGGACCACTTTGCTTCCACTTCTGCCAGAAGACAAGGAAAATCCTCCTCAGATAGAACCATGGAGGGACATACCACAGAATTCCTACAGAAAGATAATGGGAAGCCAATCCATTCAGAAGAACGTCACTATTGGAAAAACGAACAAATAAAATACAAACAGATGAAAACAGATAATATTAAAACAGACAACCAAGTTGATACTGAAAAGATCCCAGGTCATATCTCTGGAGACATCAATCACCATGAAGAAAACAGTGAAGAGGAAGAGAAAGAAGAGCATATTAAATTGAAGTATAGTCACTTCACAGGGGATGAAGAGGGGTCAGAATGGAGGCATGGTGAAGTGGGCGAGGAAGAAATCTTGGGGGATAGTGAGGAGGGGTCAGAATGGAAGCAGGGGGAGGTCAGCGATGAAGAAGATGATGGTGTAGAGGAACTTGAATGGAAGCATGATAAATCTAGTGATCAAGAAGACACTGGCATTGTAGATGAATCAGAATGGAAGCATGATGAGTTCAGTGAGGAAGAAATTGCTGACATGGATGAAGGAGAATCAGTTGAGTTCATTAGTAATAAGGGAGACAGGCCAGATGACCAAGATGACAAGGTTTTGTATAAGATGGACGATTTCCCACCAGCATTTGATGAGGACGCGTTAGACATGAGACGTGTGGAAGGTGTGTATAAACAAGTGCATAAAAACGTGAAGGAGACTTCTGTCGTCTACAATGCTGACGAGTTTGGGTATACCAGGGTAGAGAAATACACACAGGTTATTGACCTGGATGGGTCTGTACACATGACCTTTGATGAGTACTATCAACACCACCCAGACAAGGCTACATATCAGCCTGCCACAGACGACCTCCACAACCAGATCCCTCTGCCTGAAGGTGAGAGTGTACACCCTCCTATGGAATTGTTACCCTCTTACAAGCTTGTGGAGATTTCTTCCTGTATTAGTTTCCACCCATAGTCTGTACATGATAGTGATTTTGACATTGATTACCTCCCTTTGCCTAATTCATCATTAACTCTAGCTAGAAAGGAACAAGTTTTGACCAAACCTTTCTATGTGAGTGGCTAGTTCGAAGACAGTATTTAATCTGAACATATATAGGGAGATTAAAATAGCATTCTCCTCTACTACATATTATTACTGATTAGCTGTAGTAAATGTGTGGAGTTGAATTCTGAGTGGCTGTTGTTATCAGTGGTGGCCATAACTACCACACGTAAATTCTGATAGACTTTAGTAACGGTAACCATGGCAGCTAGCCTTGTTTTGCTATCACTACTGTGCCTATCTTGATCATAGGGTGTATGAGACAAGGGGAGGTAATCTAACCTTTTGGACTGCATACTGGAACTATGTAATCTGCTGGTTTGTTTGAATTCCCATTCTTAGTTTTTTCAGTTTTTGTATTTGCGATGCTTTCTCTATGTTGTTTATGTGCTTTTAGTTTCTGCTAAGTTTTTAAAATAATGTCATTTTGCTAAAGTTATTTTTGTGTTTGTTATGTGTATTGGATCACCTTTACTGGAATGCCTGTTGACTTGGAGTTGTTTCCTGAACATATATTAATTTCTGAGTGCATGGTATTTGGGTCGGTGACTGTTGTAGATATTTACTTTAGTCCTTGAAGTGGCTTTGTGTTTCACCTTTACTTGTTATCCTATACTAAAGAAATTATATTTTAAAATGGACAAAGAGCTAATTTATGTCTGCATGGGTTGTATTCAGTATTTTACCTTTTTAAACATTTCCTTTTTTCACTTTTTACCTGTAAAACTTGCTGATATGCAATTGAGCCTGGCAAATAAAGCTTCTCCTTGTCAAGTTAATGTCAGTTATCCATTTTAAAGTGTCGGCCTTGCCGTATACATGAGGAAATAGAGCTGTTAATCTCCTTCCATTCCTCCTCAAATAGTAATTTGAATATGATTATAATTTTTAGTTTATTACATAGTTGAATCCAGATCACTATAGGTTTAAGTATACAATATGTCTACAGCATACATATGTACAATGAAGTACATCAAACCACGCTGATACAGCAATGTATGTGTACATCAAACCACGCTGGTACAGCAATGTATATGTGTACATCAAACCACGGTGATACAGCAATGTATATGTGTACATCAAACCACGCTGATACAGCAATGTACATGAGTACATCAAACCATGCTGATACAGCAATGTACATGTGTACATCAAACCACGCTGATACAGCAATGTATGTGTACATCAAACCACGCTGATACAGCAATGTATATATGTACATCAAACCACACTGATACAGCAATTTATGTACATCAAACCACGCTGATACAGCAATGTATATGTGTACATCAAACCACGCTTATACAACAATGTATATGTGTACATCAAACCGCGGTGATACAGCAATGTATATGTGTACATCAAACCACTGTGTACATCAAACCACGCTGGTACAGCAATGTATATGTGTATATCAAACCACGCTGATACAGCAATGTATATGTGTATATCAAACCACGCTGATACAGCAATGTATATGTGTACATCAAACCATGCTGATACAGCAATGTACATATGTACATCAAACCACACTGATACAGCAATTTATGTACATCAAACCACGCTGCTACAGCAATGTATATGTGTATATCAAACCACGCTGATACAACAATGTATATGTGTACATCAAACCACTGTGTACATCAAACCACGCTGGTTCAGCAATGTAAATGTGTACATCAAACCACGTTGATACAGCAATGTATATGTGTACATCAGACCACAGTGATACAGCAATGTATATGTAGATCAAACCACGCTGATACAGCAATGTATATGTGTATATCAAACCACGCTGATACAGCAATGTATATGTGTACATCAAACCATGCTGATACAGCAATGTACATGTGTACATCAAACCACGCGGATACAGCAATGTATGTGTACATCAAACCACGCTGGTACAGCAATGTATATGTGTACATCAAACCACAGTGATACAGCAATGTATACATCAGACCACAGTGATACAGCAATGTATATGTACATCAAACCACGCTGATACAGCAATGTATATGTGTACATCAAACCACGCTTATACAACAATGTATATGTGTACATCAAACCACGGTGATACAGCAATGTATATATGTACATCAAAACACGGTGATACAGCAATGTATATGTGTACATCAAACCAGGCTGGTACAGCAATGTATATGTGTACATCAAACCATGCTTATACAGCAATGTATATGTGTACATCAAACCACGGTGATACAGCAATGTATATGTGTACATCAAACCACATTGGTACAGCAATGTATATGTGACCATCAAACCACGGTGATACAGCAATGTATATATGTACATCAAAACACGGTGATACAGCAATGTATATGTGTACATCAACCCATGCTGATACAGCAATGTATATATGTACATCAAACCACGCTGATACAGCAATGTATGTACATCAAACCACGCTGATACAGCAATGTATACATCAAAATACGGTAATACAGCAATGTATATGTGTACATCAAACCATGCTGATACAGCAATGTATATGAACATCAAAACATGGTGATACAGCAATGTATATGTGTACATCAAATCACGCTGATACAGCAATGTATATGTGTACATCAAACCACGCTGATACAGCAATGTATATGTGTACATCAAACCACACTAATACAGCAATGTATATACATCAAACCACGCTGGTACAGCAATGTATATGTGTACATCAAACCACGCTGATACAGCAATGTATATGTGTACATCAAACCACACTGATACAGCAATGTATANCATCAAACCACGCTGGTACAGCAATGTATATGCATCAAACCACACTGATACAGCAATGTATATGTGTACATCAAACCACGCTGATACAGCAATGTATATGTGTAAAGGTATTGCAGAATTGTACAAACACAAAATAACAGCATTGTTTACAGTATGTAAGATCAGCAAAGAAGTTAGAGATGTGATGGTAATTGTACATTATACATCTAGGGGTTCTTTATGTTGTGGTGCTTGTTATATAGCATTAGTAATACTAGACATTAGAAATAGCAGTGTGCTGTACATGTACAGGTAATGGGCTACTGTTGTCATAATTTTTAGTAATACTAGACATTAGAAATAGCAGTGTGCTGTACATGTACAGGTAGTGAGCTACTGTTGTCATAGTTTTTAGTAATACTAGACATTAGAAATAGCAGTGTGCTGTATATGTACAGGTAGTGGGCTACTGTTGTCGTAGTTTTTAGTAATACTAGACATTAGAAATAGCAGTGTGCTACACATGTACAGGTAGTGGGATACTGTTGTCGTAGTATTTAGTAATACAAGACTTACAAGACCATCTAATATAGCAGTGTACTGTACATGTAATTACGCTACTTGCCTGTTGTAACTTAGTAATTCTCGATCCTGCACTGTACAAATATTATGTTTCCCATGTCTTTAGCTGAATACATTTTGTTTTGTAACTAAATAAAGCCCCCCCCCCATTTTCATAGTAACTATACTAGACTAGTTTTCAAATAACAACATACCTATGCATGCATGAGCTTGTATTGGGACTGGACCAGTATTATTTAACTCTCATAAGTTGATGTTGAGAGAAAGCCTTCACAACACAATTATCTCTTAGTTCAAAGAGGAAGTTGCTTAAAGCCATATAGCCAAATTGTCCCCTTTTTGCCCCGCCCCTCAGCACCCTGGGGGGTCAGCCCCACCATTTGTACAATTTTGAATCCCCACCACCTAGGGATGCTTCCAGTCAAATTTAGTTAAATTCAAATCAGTGGTTAAGAAGAAGTCGTTTGAAGAAATTGTTGACGGACGGACGTCAGCTGGGAATCGTAAAGTGTAACTAACAGTACTAACACATACCTAACACACTAAACTGAAGTCTTTCATGACCTGTTCCTATAAATCTCCATTGAAATAATGAACGTTGTATGAAAAAGTAGATATTCGTTAGTGATCATTTAAGTAATTGTGAAATAGTACAATAACAGCAGCTACGGTTGTAAAGGGATTGATAAACTGTGAATAGATAGGACTATACAATCATCCTATTGTTGTCCTGTGCCTTTGTTATTTAAGTATTTGTGTTATTATACGTATCATGTTTTAGTACTGTTAATATCTATACAATCAGGAATACAGTGTGCTGTTATATATTTGAGTTAATACAGTTAACGTTTTTAAATAAACGTTAAAAGCTCTAAACTATGATTGCTGTTAAAAAAATAAACCTGGCTACTTTATATGCTATGAATACGTGTGTATTCCTTGTGTACTGTACACACCTGTAGATCTGGTATAGAAGAGGTCCAAGATCACCCTATTCATACTGTGCACTTAAATTTGATTTGCATCAATTTTTTGGTTTCTTTTAACAATTATAAAAAAAAAGATTAACATTTGTATAGTATACGTACCACGTTATAATAAATTATATCAAAAACTTATATATAAAAAGACTTGCATTTGTAGAGTACAACATTAAAATGAATAAAAAACACTTTTATGCATTTATAGAGTACCACATTATAATAATTTAAACCATAATGGTATAGGATAAATGATTTATAGATCAGTGATTGCTATATATGTTGGACTTTGTGTTAACAAGTGTAATATAATCTAATTTCATCTCACAGAAGATCCTACAGAAGAAGTCCAGCTTTCACCAAAAGAGCTTAAAGGTAAGTTGTAAAAATTACTGTTTTTGTTTAATATCATTCCACTAATTGTACGTAGTAGTCACTGACTTCTCATACATGTGATGACAGGATTGAACCATGACAGTCAATCCATCTTTGTTTTTATATGCAACTCCTGGTTGTTTCTATATGAAAATCTTATATCTTGACTAGTTTGTGTGTCATGAGTAATATAACTGTTTACATTGTTGTTTACTTACCACAGTGTTAGAATATCCCTGTCAGTTGTCTTACCTTGGTAATCCATTTTGTTTTAGCTGAAGAGTTCTACAGACTAGGGGAAGCACTCATCAATACTACTTATATGAAAGACTATGACCAGTAAGTGAACCAAAATACAAAATACCTCGTTAGTCTTCTTAACTGACATACATACCAGTATATCACCTACAGGAAATGTACACAGTTATTAATACCTCGTTAGTCTTCTTAACTGACATACATACCAGTATATCACCTACAGGAAATGTACACGGTTATTAATATATCGTTAGTCTTGACTGACATACATACCAGTATATCACCTACAGGAAATGTACACGGTTATTAATATCTCGTTAGTCTTAACTGACATACATACCAGTATATCACCTACAGGAAATGTACACGATTGTTATCTTTGAACCAAAACACAAAATACCTCGTTAATCTTCTTAACTGACATACATACCAGTATATCACCTACAGGAAATGTACACGGTTATTATCTTTTTCTTACATAACAATGGATATTTTTTCAGTTAATAAAACCAAACCGTATTTCTGATGTTAATTAGTGTGTTGTAGATAATTTAAGATATTGTATGTGTTGTTAGTCGGAGACTTATTCTAATACCCTGACTCAATGTTTGTAGAGCACACCAGTACTTCCAGCTGGCAGCAGGCCTGAACCATACACATGCCTTAGAGTACACCGGCTTCGCAAACCTGTTTGGGGACTACCTACCCCAGAACATCAGCAGGTCCATAGAGGTGTTCCATGACCTGGCTGGAAGGGGTAGTCCCAGGGGTCAGCTGGTCAGTTATTGCACTGTGTTAACATTCTGTCGTAACTCTTGTTGATTAAAGACTGTTTGTTCTGTGTTAACTTGTAGTCTTAATGTTATAATGTGTCATGTTAATGTCCACATTAAATATTTTCTTTCGTTTTTTGTAAAATATCTTCACATTGGTAATGAACATTTTCACCTGATGTAACTTATATAGTATATGGTACAAATTGTTTCCTTTGCATGTCTAATGAACAAAATGCTACAAATCAGCATGACTTCTCCTGGTCAATTAAAAAACAACCAACCCAGATACCAGTTTATTTAACATTTTAATTTTAACAAACTTTACCAATACTGATTGTAGCAAAGTTAACTCCGTCCACCACAGTTCTGCTATAATGTTTGGCTGGTCTTTTCAGGGAATGGGATTTGTAAACAGTGCTGGCATTGGCAGAAATTCCAGTCAGGCAGAGGTAAGTTTGATTAATCACAATGTTCTTTGCTGTTATACCTTTAATCTTTGGAGATACACCTAGATATTTCGTAAGTCATCTTCTGGATACCGTTATTTCGTAAGTCATCTTCTGGATACCGTTATTTCGTAAGTCATCTTCTGGATACTGTTATTTCGTAAGTCATCTTCTGGATACTGTTATTTCGTAAGTCATCTTCTGGATACCGTTATTTCGT